GGATGCTCTGCTTGGTCGCCTGTTTTTCCAATAAATTACTTTGTAATCAAGTGAATTCGAGTGCAAAAATAGGTGAGGAGCGTGCCCAGGGGGCGAGCAGGTCGGAAATGTCGCAAGGACTCGATAAATGATGACTATAATTTGCAGCCAATATGCTTGCCATTAGAATCTGCTTATCTGCCGAGTGGAAAGAAACCGCAGACGAGACACAAACGACGAAAATCACAATGCGAATGATGAGGATCGAATTCGACTTAAGGAAATGTAGATATTAAGGAACTTCCTTAATTTCGAGATGAGTTGACGGAGCTACAAATGAGCTATAGCTACAAATTAAGTAGATGAGTTGTCTCTAAATACTCTACAAACTTTACAAAGTCCAAATACTCTACACGTTCTACATACTCTACACACTCTACATACTCTACATACTCTACATACTCTACATACTCTACATACTCTACATACTCTACATACTCTACATACTCTACCTACTCTACATACTCTGCCTACTCCACATACTCTACATACTCTACACACTCCATACACTCTACAACTCTACAATTCGAAACACTCTAAATGCTCAACATACTCTACACACTCTACATGCCCTACATACTCTACATACTCTACATACTATACATACTCTACATACTCTACATACTCTACACACTCTACACACTCTACACACTCTATACACTCTACACACTCTACACACTTTACATACTCTACATACTCCACATACTCTACATGCTCTACATACCATACTCTACTCTACCTACTCTACATACTCTGCCTACTCTACATACTCTAGATAATCTACATACCCTACATACTCTACATACTCTACAATTCAAAACACTCTAAACCCTCTACATACTCTACATACACTACATAATCTAAAAACTCAACATACTCTACATACTCGACATAACAACTGTACCAAGGCAATGTCCTTTAATCAATCGATTTATCACCATCTTCTTTTACCTCTCCTTCTCTTTCTTTCTACCTTCTCTCCTGCTTGCTTTAAGCCTTTTAACTTAGCCAAGTCTTATAGCCAATATTTTATATCGCATGCATATGGCTAATGCGCTTAACAAAGCCAAGAAATCAACAATAAAAACATGTACAAAGTCTAGCAATCGGCTGTTACTGACTAAGCAATACTCTGTACAAGGTGTGCAGTGAAGCGGAATGAGGGCTGAAATTTGAATAGTGACTCTAAAACCAGTTCTAATACCTGTCAAACTGCATATGAATTACATTGAATATCTAGAGATGCTGGGCTGTTTATTGTGGAAGAATATGTGTGCAGCTAATATACCCCTTTCCTCTATGACTAACAGGGCAGATGAAGACTCTGCGTGGCTGCCAAGGCGACTCGACGTAGAAGCAACAAGAAAGCAAACTCGATGAATTTATTGAATGAGGAACTATATACATATTATATCTATGCATGAGTGGGTATATACATATATATATCTATATGTATGAAATATAATTGCTTGAATAAAAATTTCAATGGAAGACTGAAAGAGCCAAATGTCTGTCAGTGGCAGATGCGGGCGCAATGATAGAATTAAAATTGGACTGCAAGGATTGTAATTACGCTCAAATAATATAAAAAACAAGCACAAGGATATGCAGCATGCTGAGCCAGAAGGAGACAGAGAGACAACGAGGGAGCGGGAGCAAAGTTTTGCCTCGCTTTTAATGAAATAAAATAAATGCAGCGAACAGAGTAGCTCAAGGAGCAAAAGCAGCGGGCGGCAGCAGAGGCAGGAGAAGGGCGGACAAGGGGAGTAGAAAAGGCAGCTGGAAGAAGAGGAAGAAGAGGGAGGAGGAGAAGAAGGAGTAGTAGAAGGAGGGGGCAGAGCAGCAGCAGCAGGCAGCAGGTCGCCGGCTTCTGCCACAAGGACAAAAGGCAAAAGTTGACATTACGATTGTGTTTATGGCATTGTTTGTGAAACTGTGTGTGTGTGTGCGTGTTTGTGTGTACTGTTGATATTATATTACATTTTATAAATTACATTTTGTGCGCAGGCTAATGCACAACATAAAAAGCCAAAGGCTTGATTTTTATTTCTTGCCTTCAGTTGCATGCAGCAAATACTTATGCGCCGTAAAGCAAGTTGCAGATGGGGTATATTAGTTGCCAGTTTTGATGGAAGTAAAAAATATAAAATATACAAATAATAATATGTATAGGACTTTACTGTGGCGTAATATAAACTTTTGCAATGTTCTATATTATCTATTGGGGAAAGTGAGGAATTAGATACTCCTGAATAAATAGAGAAGAATCAGATATTGCCCAGCCCTAAGGTGGCATAAACCAAAGAAAATCTTTTTCTCTAGCTATGCTTTCAATACCCTTCAGCAGGCTTCGCACCACAAGTAGAGCATCGCTCAGTCGGCTGCAGCCGACTCGCGCTTATTATTTTAGCTGCTGCTGTACATTAGCAGGTCCTTCGTCCTTCGCTCGAGTTTGACTTCAATTGCAGCAACGGAAATGCATTAAGAAATTCAACTTTGGCCCATGCAACAGTTGCACCAATCAAGCCACGCCCTCTCCCACCTCTCCGGCTGCCGCCCCCGTCTTCTTTTTGCCAAATGCTTTTAATAGGCACTTGCATAATACAAATACATATTTCCACATTTCCATAAGCCATCCCGTCAACCTCCCTCCCATCCCTCCTCCCTCCCTCCCTTTGAGCTGTTAGCTAATGCGATGTCTAGCCAATATATCGATTCATATGTGACTTATTTATTTATACATATATAGAAAAATAAATATTGTGCTACAGTGAACACATATTGAAAGAGAAACAAATATATTTGAAATGAATGTACAGTGAATGCTCACTAGAGGGGAAAAAATTGCAAATATCAAAGAGCAGATACAAATTAATTTATAAACTTTTGGTAAAATTGAAAATATTTTAGAGGAGTAGTAAAGAAGGTATTTCTATGCTCTAAGCAGATATTTTGCGCAAATCAAAAATTGCAAAAATATATTATAAAATAGAGCAATGGATTCAATAATATGAGGACAATTTGAGCTACGAATAGAATAGATCATAGTATTTACTATATGGTCTTCACTGTATGCAAAAAAAATAAAGTAGGAATATGGAATGTAAATAGATCTTTATATCAGTCGTTACAGATTCTTAGAGGGGAAAGTATTTACTTTATAAGTAAAACAGTATAAAGGGAGTAGGATAGCAAAGGAAGCCCTTAGGCAGGTGTTCACTGTAACAGTGACACACGTATCACACATTCAAATCAAAGCTTCAAATTAAAAAACCAATTCAAATAAGTGGCTAATGAGAGAGAGAGGGGGAGGAAGCCCATCGACGCCTAAAAGCGCGTCACATTTATACAAAATTTGTTTTCACTCAAATTTTTCATGTTTCCCTTCTATTTTTCTTTTTTTGCTGTTGTTGTAATTTTGTTATTGATATTTTTATGACAAATAATCCGCTTTCACAGCAATTGATGTCAGGTGAAATGAAAGTTAATACCCAACAACGAGTCCAATTTGATTGGGGCGCAGCTGATAAACTTTTATGATTAAATATATATATACATATATATATATACATATATATATTTGATGTCGCTGTCATCGATGATAAGGCTAATGATCCCTTTGCCAATCATTATGATTGTATTACACATATTTGGCTTTAATAATAATACAAAACCCGAGCCGCCGCCCCCTCAGCGTCTCCCACCCTCCCCCACTGCATTTGGCCTTATCGCTCGACCTGTTTGATTTTGTATTAAATTAGTGTCGTATAAATGTTTTTTGTTGTTGTTGCTGTTGCTGTTGTTGTTGAGGCAACTGGCAGCAGTTCCCACGACTTATCACAACAGCAACAACAACAACAACAACAGTTATTTACAACAATTTATTAAACAATTTTATGGTGTTATCGTTGCATTACGCATACGCCGCATGAGTCCAGCCTTTGCCTCACTTGTAATGTAATTTCCGTTATGCATTTCCGTCCCGTCCTCCTCCCCTCCCAGCTGCTCTTCATTGAAAATCGTGCGTACATTTATTTATCTGCTGCAGTTTGGCAGCATGCGCGCCACTTCATTTCCGTTGCCGCAGCTCATTGCTGACATCATCGCTGCTGCTCAATGTGCAACGCGCATTGGGAGTGTTCCAGCTGGCGATTTCAATTGGGGAAAACAGTTCTGAGCGAGTTTCGACAGAATTATCATGCTCTATGCAGCTGAGCTGATCTGGCTTGAGCAGAGGCTGAGGAGGCTCTTCTCGCATATACAAGCAGATCAGGAATAATTATAATAATTATACTAATGACTAACAGCTAATGCTAATGATGCACGAGCTGAAGTGAGCAGAGAACACTAATACTACTGATACTAAGTCTAATGCGAGCACTAGCAGTAATGACAATGCTGATCAATACCAATAATCAATACTAATCAATGCCAATAATCAATGCTAATAATATCTAGAGCAATACTAATGCCAATACTTATATTGATAATAATACGCATACCAATGCAAAATGAGGCCCAGCTCAAACTTTTCTCCTAGTTCCATCTCTAAGAATCATAATCTAGCTCAACTCGTACATCACTCATATATGTATGTACATGTGTCTTACCTCACATCGGCTTACCGTTATTTGTGTCGATCTCCTTCAATTCGTTCTCCATTTGCGCAATCCTCGCAAATTGCCATGCAATTTATTTGTAGTCTGCTTATTGGCGCTGACTATCTCGGTTATCCTCAGCATTGTCATTGTTTATACTGCCTCTTCTTCTTCATCAGCTACCCCAGCCTCAGCCCCAGCTCCAGCCCCAGCCCCAGCCATAGCCACTGGCTGACGAAATTGGCTTCAATTATGCGCCGCATTATGAAATTATGAAAGTAAGTAGCTGCAGTTGCCTTCGCATTCGCATTCGTATTCGCGTTCGCTTTCGCTTTGGCCAAATGTAATTGCCGCAATTTGCAGTCGCAGTTGCAGTCGCTAATAACGTTTATTAAAACCATAACAACGTGGCCATCCTACCCTACCCTGCCCACCTCGTCTCGTGTACCATTAACAATGAATGTGGCATGTGTGGGATGTGGCATGTGGCATGCTGCATATGTGTTACGCTGGCAAATTATGCAAATCCTTGTGAAGCACATTAATGACAATTAATCGCTGCAAATTAAAATGATGACAATGCTCCACATATGCCACAAGGATTTATATGCAGCCTCGCTCTCCCCCTCTCCCCTCTCTCTCTCTCCATCTCTTAGCGCTAAATTATGAACTAAGCTGGATAGTTGATAAAGTGCTCGCCATTCAAGCGCCCCACGTCGCGTTCCCGCTGCTCCTGCCTGCGCTCCTCGTGCCGTCCATCGAGTCCCACGCCCAGGCGCTCTATGAACTTGGCCGAACGATATCCATTTTTCTGAAATATAATTTTCAATATAGTATATGTGATATCTATGTAAGTATATATGGTGTATAGCTCACCTCGTAGTACAGAGTACGCGCTTTTTTAGCCGCCTCTGGATCGAAATCCCAATCGGTTCGCACGTGAGTTATCGGCTCCCCAGCTACATTGTTTTGTAGCGTTTCGCTGATCAGTCGCAGGATGAAGCCGTCAGCTGTGCGAGAGCTCAATACCAATAGAGAGCACTGCAGGAAGAGAAGAGTAAAAGGAGTAAATAATTATCTAAGCTGATCTACTTATGATTTGAATATTGTAGAAATGTACTCTAGGCTAAGCTCAGTTGATCAGAGCTAAATATTTACGACCAATTAGGACCCCTACCTCAGTTTGAGGCCATTCCGAACTGCTTTATACACATGAATAATACTACTATTAATCCATGATTATAACTATGTCAGAATGATGACAACATTGACGCTGATTACGTTTATTATACTCATTATAGTCAAAATACTCATCATGAACACAATAAATATAATTAGTACTATTATGACCAAATGATCCGTAAGATCATTAATGATCAAAAAAACTGCATCATCAATATAAATGTTATTAACATAATATATATAAAAATGCACATAATTTTAAGATAACAAGCATTAAGCGTTAACGCTACATAAAACATATTAAAAATTTTTTGTTTTATTTTTTACGGCAAAATAAAAATGTATATATAATTTATATGATACAATATTTTAATAAAACAAACCAGATTAACAAACAAAACAGCTGGAATATCAAAATATGTTTAATCATAATTAATTGCATCGCTCCACAGCGCCTCTCGAGAACTGCCAAGCGACTGATCCAGCTCTGCAGCTAGTGCCCCTTTAAGTAGATCACACAGTCACTCAAAGTCGAGCTCGGCAAATGAGAAATTTATTCTGAGAGAGTTACTATGAGAGCATTTTGAAGCTCATTGGAGAGGCACAGTGTATGCTAGATTTAAGTGTTGAGTGATGGTGAATATAGAAGGGAATAAAAAGACACACACACATGTGCACCATTTTGATTGTTTAGTTTTTTTAATCTTGAGTAATTATATATAAATATTTAATACATTTATCTTGGAATGACACTACTTAATAGCCATAAATCAGGGTTTCAGTTTATTTAATTACATAAGCAGCCACTCAAGGTCATTTTCGTTATGATTAATTCAAATATTGCGCCACATTCAACTGTTTATGCACTCTCGATCCACTCTCAGTACACTTGAGATCCACTCTAAACTTTCGATTTGAATAAAATTCGAGCCATAGCTTAAATATTTCGCACAAGCGTTTCTTCTTTCTGTTGCTTAGCAAAACGAAACGACTTTCCCACTTACAGCCAACAAAAACAAATATCTCATTTGCAACATTTTCTATAATTTTGGTTTTTACTCGTGAGTAACTCAGTGCGCAGCCCGTGCGAGTCACTGGACCATTGATCACTAAATCCAAAAGCTCGAAAAAACTGCGAAGTTGCATAAAGCGCAGCCAAGCGCCAACGCAAATATCGCATGAATAAAGAAACAAAAAAGCATCGACAAAACTTACGGTAAATAAAGTCATCTTGTTCGGCAGGGCAATACAAATGCCGATAACTTGCTGAAAGAAGTGTGAGAGGGACGGGCGATGGCTGTTAAAGCGAGGGAGTCAAGGCGCGGGAGGCAGAACGAACGGCAGAGAGTCCGTAGGGAATGAGGCAGAGCAGAAGAATGCAGGAGCGAGCGAGACAGGTAGCATGAATAAATATTCAATAAAGTGTGGTAAGAAAACAAAAAGCTAAACGATGATTAGTTATGTCTCAATTTATGAGCACAAAACACAATGCAACAAATTAAACGAATCCACTCAAAAAAGGTCAGCATCGAACTTTGGCTTTGTGGACGACCTTGAGAAAAAGACTTTAAGTACCCAAAAACAATTATTTTTATTATTATTAGTTTGTTTGTTTTTTATTTTGACTCACTTTAATGACATACCGAATTTGAAGCAGACGGAACTAAATAACGGCCAAAGGTTAGTGCCACCTGCCATAAGAGCCCAAAGCAGCTTCAATAGAGGAAAACAGAAAAATGGCACAACAAGCTAAAGAAAGACGACGACAAACTGGTTGCACGAATTATCATTGCAGAAGTTACATAATGGACCATCAACAACATCATCATTATCATCATCATGGAGATCATGATGGGAAACCAGCAAACCAGAAAAAAACTAAGACAACAACACTTCAGTAATTTGGCCTCAATTCCGTCAACGTTTTTTTTTTTTTTTTTTTTGCACTGCTTTAACAGCTGTGCCAAGCCACGCTCTCTGCTCTCCCATTCTCTCTCACTCTTTCACTCTCCCACTCAGCCGCTCTTGCATTTAGCTACGTGCCTGGCTGCATGTCAACCTGTCAAATTTACCTATTAGTTACGCTTGCTGCCAAAAAGCTCTCTGCGAATTTCCGGCTTCTGCTGTCCAGGAAGCAGCGCGCTGCTTTAACAGCTGCTCGCTCTCAGCACAGGACTTTCACTTTCATTGAGACGGCACACACACATTAGTATTGAGTAAACAACAGAAGATTTCATGGAGCTTTCCAAGCGGAGCTTTTGAAGCTCTTGCGCTTGCGCTCTGCAACGCGCGTCGTCTGCAGCTGGAATTCAGTTACCAAACAAAACGCGTGCGGTCAACAACACAGCGGCAACAACGATTTAACCGTTAGCTTTGTAAAACGTGATCAAGCAATAAATACAGTGGAAACATTCGGATATATTTGCAGACAAACTTTTTTTTTTGGTTGCTGTAGCCATGGCAAATTTGAATACGCTGCTGCTGCCCGTAAGTATTTGACGGAGAGAGAGTGTGTTTGGGCTGGCGATGTTGGCCCCATCAATTAACATGGCCAAAGACAAGCGCTGACACAATTTCCGCGCGAAAGTCGCACCAAAAAGAAAAGTGTCTGCACCTGCCAAGCAAATGTGACTGGAATGCACAATGAACTCAACTTGGTGTCGTTTGCTCCGCTCCCATTGGTCAGCGCGACGACACATTTTGAATTGATGTCGGCGCCTAATTTGTAATCGCTGCACGACAGAAGCGGAAGACGAGAGCAAAAGAGAGACCTTGAAATGTGCTCATTGCCCAATTCTGCAAGTGATCGAAGCGGCTTTTCCACTCTCGCGCTCTCACGCTCTCTCGCTATCACACTCTCTCCGACAGGCTGCGCATTGGCCAATTGCGGAGCTTACAAAATGTGTCATAATCTTAAAGCTCAGCCACTTGTTTTACTTTGGTTTCATTACTGTTGTTATTGTTGCGTTGCATAATCATGGCAATAGCCGCTGTTGCTGTTTTGTTTGTTGTAATTGTTGTTGTTCCAACTCATGCAAGACTCGAGCCGAATTAGTTGTGCATTTATGTATTACATTTGATATGTGCATGACACACTGAACTAATGAGCCGGCTACTTTTGCTTTATAGTTATATTATTATAAAATGATATTTTTTATTATTAAAAATATTATGTATTTCTATTTCAGCTCATTTTCTTAATTGTCGCATTTGTCGCGAACACTTCCTATGCGACGGTGCAGCCGCGTGCACCAAATTTCCAGTATTTCGAAAGGTAAGGCATTTTTGTATAACACTTTTCATGATCATGATCTATACCTAATATTTTACCACACAGACCCAAATACCGTTATCCGTACTATGATGAAAATGGGCGAGGCAAACTATTGTATGGCTATGGCGGACCGGATCTATATCAATACAAGACATACACACCGCTAGAGGGAATACATTAAGCAGCTTTAACTAAATTTAAAGCAAATATATATAATAATGTAAATTTAGTTAAATAATTTATACAACCTAAATAAATGGCATTTTAAACAAGATAAATAAAAATGCGCGCCAATTAGCGAAGCTTTAAGTATAGATGACGCAATTAAGAACTTTTGAATTCCAAATGAACACTAGGTGGCGCTACTTCGTGTTTATGTTGTGTTGTGAATGGACACTTTTCATTGCGAATGGCAAGTTCTTAGTAGAGTAGAGGAACCAGCACAAACGTTTACGATTTTGTCAAATTTATTCAATTTATTTACTTGAACTGCATTTATAAAACACAAAGCCAGTAAGATGTCACGCAAAGAAGCACTCTCACAGTTTATCAATCAAATACACGGCCGACCCGTTGCCGTTAAGCTGAATAATGGCGTTGATTATCGAGGTGGGCAGAAAATCGAATGCCGGCTTCTGGTTGAGAATTAAATGCTAACAAATTTGAGAATTGTTTTACAGGTGTTTTGGCCTGCCTGGATGGCTATATGAACATAGCGCTGGACCAAACGGAGGAATATGTCAATGGACAGCTAAAGAACAAATATGGCGACGCTTTTATACGAGGCAACAATGTGCTCTACATATCCACACAGAAACGGCGCGTGTAGAAAATGAAATGAAAATGAAAATGAATAAGACAAAACTTACGATTTATTTCATAAATAAATTAAAGTAATAATTTACTCCCTCAAGCCTCAGATCGTGTTGCGCGGTATCGCGCCAAAGTGTCGCAGCTGACTCAAGGAGTAGCCCGCGCCAAGCGCCGCAATTAGATTTTCGCCCCGTCGCCCGAATTTTCGCTCGTAGACTGGCCGCCAGTTGCGGCCGAAGTGTGGATCGAAGGGTATTTCGCTCGGTTGCTGGAACGGCGAGTTGCCGAAGAACAGTCGTTCGATGTAATCCAAGACGGCCTTCTTCTTCTGGAAGTGCACTATAATGGGATTCGCTTGGGCGCCATAGCGTGGATCTTGAGAGTCGAGGTTCTTGAAGTATTGAAAATTGACCAGATCCACATTGGAGAAGTCGAACGTCGCCTCCGTGCCCAGCAGCAGCAGCTGCAGCCACTGCAGGTGTGAGGAAGCACATGTTAATTAGCCGCAGCGACTATCATTTAGTTGACTAATTGCCCACTTACCACTAATCCGAATGTAATTAACACGTAGTTCCACATATCGCTACCCTTTAAAGACGCAGCTCCTCTCGCTTGTCCACTCGAAATTCAACTGATTTGTGTAAATTTCGGCTAGCGCTTGTCCAGCATGTATTGTCCCCCGATTTGCAATCTTTATACATATATATGTATGTACATATGTATATCTGTTTTCCCCTCTTGTCTTTTGTCGTAATCAATGCCAAGTTACTCAATCGGACGCCCAGCCAAATGTAAAAGACAATACGTGGTCGCCCACCTCGGCCAATTAATTGTCATGCGGGTCACATATTTTAGCCCAAACTCCCCCTGCACAGCTGTCCACTGCTCCGTGATAACCTGTCCAACCGTTGAGAGCAGACGAATCAAACAGCTCTTGATGACAATCAAATTGCATTCGCTCCAAATTTAACTTGTCCAAAGATATACATATACTGTCAGACATGTATCGAGCCATCAAATACCGTGCCACACCTACTTTCCCACCAGCCGCCCCATTCAAGCTTTACCTCTTTTTTCACGTACTTAAAAACTTTGAATAGGCAAATCTGTTTGCTTATAGCTTTGTTTAAATTCATCTAGTCCTGCAACGCCCACCAACCGCGCCCCCCTGCCACCCCAGGGCATTTGCATTGCTCCAGAGTCGATGCAAAATAAATAAAGCAATACAGTAAAGTCTGCCTAAATACGACAGTTAGTAAACGAAAGTTTCAGAAATGATAATTAATGAATAAACTTTATCAAATTTGGCAGCAGGCGTGCCTTAGGCAGGTTTTACTGTAGYTCAACAAATATATAGCAAGCTAGTTAAGCGTGTGTGTGAGTGTGTAGCTTAACTATATAAAATGTTTATAAATTATTTTTATTCATATAAATTTTAATTTTAATCATGCAAATTTCGTTAGCCCGATATTTAACTCAAAATTTGTTTTTTTTTTTTTTCAAGTAATATCAGAAATTGATTTAAAATATATACCAACTATATATGAATGTGTGTGTGTGTGGCCTGACTATTTTCTGTATATTTTTTGACTATTATTATATATAAAATCACATTCCTATTATTTATATATATTTTTTAATATTATGCAAACTTTAATGGTATTTGCATGCTTCGCTTTTCAACTTAAATTTGTTTTTAGTTTTTCTTTTTCCACTTAATAAACGCAAAGTTAAAATTGTGTGTGTGGGGGGCAAATGAAAACCAAGGCGTGGTAAGGAGATTGCTCTAAGTGTTTACTTGGACCAAGCGATCAATTGTTTCATATCTGGATCTGTGGAATGTACAAGAAATAGTATTAGAATTAGTTTCGGTGCAATTTACAGGGTATCTGTGCTGCCTACCATCCTCTTCGTCGGTAACAACGGCCGCTGGGACTGCCTTTTTCTTTTCCTTGACTTTCTCGGGTAGATCTTCGGTTGGCGCTTCTGGCAACGTGGGCGTTGGCTCTGGTATGCCAATGATCTCCTTGTCAAAGTTCTCTTGCTCCAGTTCGTCCAGCTCCCGCTCCAGATCCTCATCATCCAGGTCGGCGCCAAAGGCCACGGGATTGGATATAGCGTCGGATATCTCACGTGCCACGTCCTGTTGCTCAGCGATATCGTCCATCATATCGTGCACCTTGTCCACATCCCTAAAAGAGCAGAAGCAGGAGAGGATTAATGGGATTCCTCCTCAGATTAGCTAGAATCTACTTACATGTTCTGGTGCGCGGATTTCAACGCGTCTGCTGCGTTCTTCATGGTGGTCAACACCGCTGTATTCGTATTGGCGCTCTCCAGGGCCTCCCGCTGCATCTCAATGGTTGATAAGGTGCCATCGATTTGCTGTAGCTGTTTCTCCAGGCGCTTCTTCTTTTTGAGTGCCTGCAGAGCGACTGGAAAAGAGGCAACAGATATTTGAGTATAGAAATTGCAGATAAGAAACTTTATGTAAACAATATGAATCTTGCATATGATGACAAATTTAGCTGTTTGTTATCTTTTGCCCAATTGTAAAAACAATTAATTAAATGTTTATATTACGTTCTTAAAGGGTTTTTAGCATACAATAGCATCCGGCCAGTTAAGCAGCAAGAAAGGCAAGAAATACACATTTATATATTGAATTCTTCATACTTCATGTTTGGCAAAGTGATCTGTTATTATTAATTTTTTTCAGTGTAAATTTCATATTTAAGGCAACAAAAACAAAAGCAAAAGTTAACAATAAATGAGTCATAGCTGTTGGCGCATGCCAGGTGAACCTAGCTGTGGCTTCTTTATTGATTAACACATACCTCTTTTGTTTTTGGATGCGTTTTTGCGTGCTGTATTTAATTCCTCCTCGATTTTGGACTCGAGAAACTCTTGTTTCTTTATCAGCATATTTTCCGTCTCTCGCAGCTTTTGTATCGCCTCGCCTGTGGTGGGGGCGACCTCTTTTTTGCCGCCAAACATTTTGCCAAAGAAACTCATCGTGTTCGCCTTTGCTTTTTAGCACAAATTGTGTAGTTAATTATAATTAATTATTGTTTTCCCTATTGCGTTCTCCTTGCAGACTTTTGTCTGGTGTTTTTGTCTATGGGCGAGTGTGCGTCATCGTGTTATCGAAAAATTATTAGAAACATATGCAACCAGTACGAGACGATACCGATAGGCAACATGCAGCCGTGCTGATGTAAGCCATCCCTGTGACAGTCCACTCAATGTTGGTGTGTCAGCCCTGGAAGAGCTGAAAACAGAGTTAATCTCCCAAATGCATTGAAAACAAAACACATTGAAAATAAATAACAAATGGCAAATCGCACCGTCAAAGAGGCGAAAAACGTGCACGGCACAAATCCGCAATACTTAATAGAGAAGATCATACGCTCCCGCATCTACGACTCCAAGTACTGGAAGGAACAATGCTTTGCACTGACCGCCGAGCTGCTGGTTGATAAAGCCATGGAGCTGCGCTTCATAGGCGGCGTCTATGGCGGAAACATAAAGCCAACGCAGTTCCTTTGCCTGACGCTGAAAATGCTGCAAATTCAACCAGAGAAGGACATCGTCGTGGAGTTTATCAAGAACGAGGAGTTCAAGTATGTGCGCGCACTGGGCGCCTTCTACTTGCGTCTCACAGGCGCCGCCATCGATTGCTACAAATATCTGGAGCCGCTCTACATTGATAATCGCAAGCTGCGTCGCCAGAATCGGGCTGGACAGTTCGAGATCGTCTATATGGATGAGTATATTGATGAGCTGCTGCGCAATGACCGCGTATGCGACATCATTTTGCCGAGGATACAGAAACGCTCCATATTGGAGGAGAATAACGAACTGGAGCCGAAGGTGTCGGTTCTGGACGAGGATCTGGATGATGAGGTGCCCAGCGAGGATGAGGCCAAAGACACCGAAGAACTGGATTCGAGTCGCCAGAAGAATAGCTCATCTAGCTCAGTGCGGCGACCACGTCGCGCCCGTTCGAAATCCAAATCACGAGAACGGGATCGACGAGCTGCTCCTCCCAGCAGCAATGGTCGCTCTAGAGATTACTACGACGAGCTGGAAGAATATGATCGGCAGCGCAATCGAGTGCGGACACAGAATCACAGCAGCAGCAACTACAATGACGACTACGATCGCCGCCAATCGGGTCGTAATGAAAACCGAAGGGACGGAGAGCGAGATCGACGCGATCGAGATCGTGAGCGGGACCGGGAGAGGGAACGCGAACGGGAGCGTGAACGAGAGCGGCATGGTGACAGAGAGCGTGACCGGAACGGCGACAGAGATCGAGAGCGTGAGAGAGAGCGCGATCGCAGCAATCGTCACGAGCATCGGGAAAGAGATTCCCGCAATGATCGTGAGCGACGACGATACTAAAATCGATCATCAAATTAATAACTTTTCATTATTTTTTCATTATGAGAAAATAATAAAATTTTAAAAACCAATTAAGACTCGATTAAATACCAACCAAAAATTCAACTAGCTCCAAATTAATCAGCTTGATGCGAACGCGATCAGTGGGAACAGAGCTCAAAATGACAAGGTAAACAAGAACAGCTGCCTTAGCAATACACTCATGAATTTTAATAATTTAATATATAAATAACTATATGAATAAAAAAACTTGTCCGTTTTCAATTAAAGTTACCGCCAAGATTATTAAATTAGTTCTGCATGAGCTCAACTGGTCCAATGTTAAACAACGCTGGCAAACGCGACTAGTGGAAACACTGCAAATTACTCAAAATGGCATGGTAAACAAGAACAGCTGTTGCTGCAATGGAAAGCTCAGAGTTTAGAAAGTTTGCGAAGCGCTGAATGAGTTAATGAGAGGCGGTAGAATAAATATTATTAAGTAGTATTGTGTGGAGTGCAAACGAAACTGGGCAGAAGTTCCGTTCCGCTAAATTACGCGCTCACACACACACACATACACTCAAATTGTAAACGTCGCAAATTATAAAGAGCGCGATTTGTGTCAATACAGATAAACGAGTTTTGTTTTTGGTTTTTTGTTTTTAATTTAGTGAATAACAATTCAACATGATTTGCTAGTTCCTTTGTCTAAACAAACAATTGAAACAACTGTTCATACTTAACAATTTTAACAAATTTTAAAACCAAACATGAGCGTACGATCCGATCGAGAGCCTTTGGTAAACGAGGAGGAGCATGAAGACGAGCTACTGCCACGCCTACTAGATGCCGCACAGTCAAGCTCAGATATAGAGGCCCCTGCATTGCCAGCAGGCAATAGAGGCGGCAGCTCTAGCAAATGGTTTATATTAGAGCCCGCAGTGTTTTTGATATTCGTGGGTCGCAGCTTAATTGGTAAGGAAATTTGAATTTACTGCTAATCACAGAGTCTGTTACAGTCATACTTCATTGTATTATCATTTTAGGGGCGGTGCTGCAGAATCAGATACTGTACCAAACCTGCGTCACGATCATGCACTTCAACGAAACCCAATGTGAGCCGCTGCTGGGCGTCGATCGAGGTTCGCAGGAAACAAAAGTAAGTTTCCTGAGCTCAAGCTCAAGATGTTATCTTCTATAATATATACAATGTATGATATACTCTATATGTAATGATAGCAGTCTAGCTGATTGGATATTAACAATGAGCAGATGAAAGTAGAGAGAACTTCGGCATATCAAGCTGTATATTATATATGAGTATATATTGGTATAATGAGGGCTATTTAGTATTGCAGTAACCTCCACATACATATGTGGTTGTAGTTACTAATTCAGTTTACATACTATGATCTATTTATATATAATATGAACTAACTATATTACAATGTCAGTATAGAAGGCAAAGATAAGTTATAGGATAATTAGTTTCATAGCTCTCGGGCATACTTAGCTCTATTTTGGACTCTGTCCATTTTTTCAATCCTGTATGAAAGAGTATTCAGAATTTCCTTATAATTCTCACGCTCTTTCTCTTTCTTGTTTTTATATCATCATAAAACGTACTTGACATTTCTTATCGCTTAAACTGTTATAATCCAATTTCCATTACGCTAACGACTTTGACTTATACGCATCGAGAAATCCAATCAGAAATGAAAATAATGTATTTGATGATCTATTGTTTGACTAGACAGATAAGAATGAAAACCTCTATAGGCGTACATATATACATACATATATGTATATAACGAAATGTAGTTCAGCTCTTATCTGGGGCTTATGAGCGACGCCTTTAACCAGGCATGACTAATTGTTGCAGTGGTCGAAAATATTATCGATCGAGGAATACTTTGATCTGAATATACCCAATGGCACGCGATGAGTCATTCGGGTGCTAGTCGAACAGCTGCTTAAAGCCAATTGATTATTAGCACTAAAAATGTTTACTACCCCAATTGTTGTAGAAGCTGGAGACCGAGGTTCAAGGCTACTCGGCGGATATCACAATGGCCATATCGCTATTGGAGAGCATCATGCCGGCGTTTGTCAGCCTCTTCATCGGGCCCTGGTCGGATAAGTTCGGCAGACGGCCTATATTGCTAACGGTTTTCACGGGTAAGATGAATTTACTATAGTTACAGATATTAATAATTTATATATGATTAGGATTGTAATT